GTCCATCGTAAGTGTTAGGGAAATTATTTTGTAATACAAATATAAATACATTTATTTATCTTTCGGTTCAGCACGTAAAATATAGTTCAATCTAGGAAATGTTTATTTGAATATTGACCTTTATTAGTGYTGGTTAAAAATCTAAAACTCGGTGTGCCCATTCTTTGTCTATCCGACGTTAGAGCGGGGTGAACTGGGATGAGTCAGCTAATCGACCGGAGCTTTTTCGATGCCYACATTGACTGTGTWGCGAGTAGGAMGATTGGCAGTTTGGCTGACCATCACTGCGGTGATTTTATCTCGGCGAGCGCGGATTTGAGCGTGTGGTAAAAATACGTTCTGCCGTCACGTCGGCCCGAGGGTGATACGGCGACGTYCGACTGTGCTCGATGCCGAAAGTGATCTAAAGTGATTTGAAATCCGACCCAAACTGTCAGCCTTGACGTCAGGCACGCCGAAACGTGCTATCCAGTTAGTTGTTAAGAACTGCGCGGTCGWCATGAATTCTTTATCGGCCACGTCTCTGGCCAGCGTGTGAATCAGTCGAAAACCTCAGTAGGTACTTGTATCCGMTGGATGGTGATAACGGCCCAACTAAGTCGAAGTGAATGTGGCCGATATGTCGTTTGGGTGAAGTGTAAGGTACTAAGGTGTGATGCTTGACGTCGTGTGTTTGTGTACTTGGGCTCGTTGGCACCGTTCGCAAGCTCGGCTTTATCACATGATTTCTAGATCACGTCCGGCCAGCAATATCGCGATTCTATGAGACGGAGGGTGACGTGGTGGCCGCCATGGGCTTGACCTTTTGGCGGGTTGAAAACTTTGTGKACGTCTTTGAGTGTGATCGGTACCTGATGGTAAGCTCAGAGGATTTAGGATATCTCAGCGTCGGTGATTTGGCGTCGCCGACAGTTCAACGTGACGATTTCGGCGATACGGCAATTGACTTATGTCTATAACATTGTCTCACCGTATGGCGTGTGGTAATTTTGTCTTTATTAGTGKCACTAATAATAATTATTACTAACTAGGTATAAATAAATATAATTAATTTGATTTAATTATTTATGATTTAAAGTGATTGTGGTATTTATACATTTTTAACTGTATTAACCATAAATAGTTATAATTATTTTATTTATTCATGTTTTAAGATTGCTTATTTTATTTTGTAATATGTTTTTAC